AGATATGTTCCATTTTTAGGGCTGTGCAATATTACCGGTAAACCGGTATATACCGGTACAGTATCTCGCGATACGATAATCTCGATATGGTTCAGATTCTGCAATATATTGGGTCATCCAGAGTTAGCTCCCTTTGAATTATCTGCCGTTGATTTCCATAGCAAAAAGTGCCCTAAAAGTGCCAAATATATATTTTTATTTCTGATGGTTTCATGTAACATTTAACTAGTGGAAGTGTCATTATAAGTGGCTCCAAAAGTGCCAAATATTATACCAAATGCTTTATGTTTTGTCAGTTTGAATGGTTTCATTTGGAGGAATTAAGTGGCCTCAAATGGACCATTTTTTATTTGGACTTATTAGTAGAGCCTCTAGCTCTGAGTGACCATTTTGTTTGTTTCATAATGGGACATGTGACATCAATTTATCATAAAGGTCTAAGTCTTATAAATTTTGTTGTACTGTATAATGACATTCTAGTCAAGGATCTGAGTTATTGGAGGTCACATGCGATGTTAAGCTCAAGTACATGTAGTTCAACTAAATCATGCTTTTGTTTCATTTTACAACAGTTCATGTAAACACATGTTTATATTGGAGTTGAATCTGAACGAATCACTGACATACAGTAACAATAATTACATACTGCTTTGAAGTGCATTCTGTTGAAGCAAACAACACTGACCATGAAAATCATGTTATACTATTACCTTTATCATTATGTTCGCAAAACTTTGTTGCAATATTTCAACTAAGCATTCCACGTTAAACTCTATATTATTTTATTTATGTGGAAAACCATTGGCATACAGCCATACACAATGTGGATGGGGAGCCTGAAAGTATTGTGTAACAGCAAATAAGAAGATGATGTCGCACACAGAGAGCTATTATGAATTTATGATGTACACACTTGGGCAGAAACCTTCCACTCAATATATCACAATATGTATTGCAATATCTCTTAAATTATTGCAATATATCGCAATGAGAATCAGGGCAATATCCAGCCCTATCCATTTTGCACGTCCTGTTATGTTTAATAGTACCCAAATTTGAGTAAAAATACTCCTTTAGAACAAAATTCATGAATATTTGATTCAAGTGATTGCAAATGACGAATTTCCCATCAGTTCCAGCAATATCACGGCGGGGAACACCAGAAATGGGCTTCACACATTGTGCCAATGTGAGGAATCAAACCCTGGTGTTTGACGTGATGAGTGAACGCTTAAACCACTAGGCTACCCCACCTCCCATCATAGGAGGTGAACTGGGTGGTCAGGCTCAGTGACCATTTCATTGTAGCCGGACATCATGGATATATTGTTCTCAATATCAATCACTGGATCTTCTGGTCCTGTCTCAATAATTACAGACTGCATCATATTGCTGGAATATTGCTGAATGTGATGTTAGAGACCCAACAAATCAGTGATATCTTGGACAACTATGGTTAACGACACAGAGTGAGTTTGGTTTTACGCCGCTTTTAGCAATATTCCAGCAATATCATGGCGGGGGACACCAGAAATGGGCTTCACACATTTTGCCCATGTGGGGAATCGAACCTGGGTCTTCGGCGTGATGTGTGAACGCTTTAACCACTAGGCTACCATACCGCCCAACGACATAGACATTAATGAGTCATCAAAATGCTGGGATGACAATAGTCAAGTAGTCAATGATAAGACATTTAAGAATTGCTGTTATATGACATGTCACTTAAGGTTTACTGTAAACTGAACGTAAGTAGCATCAAACTATTCTTTAAGATATGATGTCAATGTATGTTAACCTCATCATTTCCTGATGACATTGCCCCCTGTATGTTATAATAAGGAAGGTCAACATGGCTGCACCCTAGAAATTTAGGGAATTAGGTGAATGCTTGATTAAATTCATTTGCTCATTATTTAGCAAACTAGATTCTGAACATTCGAAAAAATTGATTCATAATCAGGTGACATATTGTGAAAGTTTGATGCCATTATCCTTTGACAATCACAGCTATCCTGTAACGTTGTGTAAATTTTGTTGTTTGGTTTGTGGGCAAATTTACTAGGTCTTGTAAGGCTTATAATCTTTCCTAAGCAACCCATGCTGATCCTAAGGTAAATGGAATGCATGGTCAGGCTTGGTGATTTGGTTGGTAGCTTGTCATCATGTCTAACTCCCTACCGTGATAATTGTTGCTATCACTCTTTGTATTGCCAGTCCCAGACTCGATTATTTATAGGCTGTCATCCTGTGGTTTTATGTTTAACCCTCTCTGGTGTTCTGCATTAAGGGGTTACCAGGACGGTCAGTTGGGAGTCTGCATACTCGAGCATTGTATCAGTTCGGGCGGCAACGAATCAACTATGAGGCGAATATGATACTTGTCTCACGTATTGGGTAACAATACAGTAACAGCAGCTGATGTAGTAACAGGGGTATATAGCACTCATATACACCTGAAGTGTACTTCTTACTATATTAAGCATCTCTTCTTTTCCCGGAATAACTGCATTTGAGGTTTGTGTTTCCTCTCAGGTTTTACCTTTTGTAAGTAAGACCTCTTCCCAGGTTTTATTTTTTCCTAACTCTATATGAACATCAATATTCAAATGATATATGAGTGTTTGAAATCAATTGAAAAAATATCGTCCAAGATCAATTTCAAAATGCAAATGTTTTCCCAAGCAGGATTAGAACCGCATCTATCAGGTTATTAAGCGGACGCTCTACCTCATGGCCACCGAGCTGACGAAGACGTAGGGGTTGAATTGTCTATTTATAGTTACTGTCAGTAAATTGATTTTACTTGAGTTATTGTTATGTAGCTTCATTAAATGATCATCTACATAATTATCCATCATTGATGGTTTATATGTTACGGAAAACACTTCCCCGAGGTTTTGGTAGAGAATGTAAAACCTTGGGAGGAGGGAAATCCCTCCTCCCTCGGTTTTACATTCTCTATCAAAACCTCGGGGCGTGTTTTCCCCTATACATGTAGCGCTTCCATGCTTCCATCCTTCCATCTGTATTTCCATTCTGAAACTTTGTCCGGAGCATATCTATTAAAGTTTACATGCTAGGTTCAACAAACTTAACACACAAGTTAATCATGACCAACAGGTGTGCCTTTTGCTATTTTGAAGTTCATCAGAATTTCATGCTGTTTCCATGGAAAGATGACTTAGTGCAAAATGTGTTTGATGGTAATCTTGTCCGGAGCATATCTCTGAAGCTATACATGCTAGGTTCAATTATTAATGTAATCAGTAAATGGGAAAACTATTATCTAAGATGTGTATAAAGTTTGATGGAGTCTTGTGAGCTGCTGATCCTTGTCACAGTATATATATATCAATATCAGTCATTTCCATGTCCCAAAGTGGGAAGTGGGGGTATGTGAGCTGTGCTCACTTCTACACTTGTTCAGTATGTCTAAGGGGCGGTGGGGTAGCCTAGTGGTTAAAGCGTTGGCTCGTCACGCCGAAGACCTGGGTTCGATTCCCCACATGGGCACAATGTGTTAAGCCCATTTCTGGTGTCCCCTGCCGTGATATTGCTGGAATATTGCTAAAAGCGGCGTAAAACTAAACTCAGTCAGTCAGTCAGTATGTCTAAAGCTTACATGCTACGCAAAACTCTACTTTGCAGATACAAATTCAACTTATAAAGTTAAAAAAATAACGCGATGAAGAAAATCCTGCGAATCGGAGTTCAAACAATTCACTAAAAAAAACAGCTGGGGTGATAAGTGGTTTCAATAGCTGTGCTGCGCTGCACACATGGCATATGCGCAGTGAATAGGTTCGAGCGGCTTGAACTGGGATCCCTATACACACACAAAGAGCCCTGAGCATATTGGCAAATGAACCAGCCAATGAAAGCCTTCGTCACACTTAAGTGCACGCCTACCCTCTCTGACTGGGTTCAGTACCCCAGGTGCTTTGTTTCGAAGGTACAAACCAAGTACAAAATATTGCATTTTTGATTTGTGATTGTAGGCTTATAAATTTCAAAAAAATACTTTCATAATCAGCAATGTATATTATATGTCATGAAGAAATGAAAATTGTGTTTTAATTCGGTTTATTGTGTTGGTTGCATATAAGCTTTAATGAAACAATGACAAAAGAAATATTGTCCATGTGATGACCATGTTGACAGTGTAAATCTATCGCAGCAATGACCAGTGACCATGTTACTGTCAAATTGAATTTCTATGTGAGTGTTGGCTATTATCTTGCCTGGCTTAGATATGTACCAGTTTGCTTATCTCGTCATTTATTTTATCACCCTAATTTATTAAAAATACTCCTTTTGTACAAATTCGTATATATTTGATTCAAGTGATTGCAAATGAAGATTTGAACTCATGAAGGGATTCAGTTCCTGTCACCAAATATGAGAGTGACTTGTAACAGCCAGGGGTTAGAATTGATCTTCAGTAACCCATGCTTGTCATAAGAGGGCACTAACGGGATTGGGTGGTCAGGCTCGCTGACTTGGTTGACACATTTCATTGTATACCAATTTGCACGTAGATCGATGCGTATGCTGTTGATCACTGGATTGTCTGGTCCAGACTCAGTTACTTACAGACCGCTGCCATATAGCTGGAATGTTGCTGATTGCGGCGTTAAACAACAACCAACCACAGTGTCCATGTTTAGCATGAAATCTCCATGGGCTAGCACTGAAAAAAACAGCTCTAGTTTGAACTAACTGATGCAGACACACCCTCACATGCAAGGACGGGTGCATCTATATAAATGCACTAATCTTGACACATGTTGTGCTGTACCTCACACCACCCTTAGCCTAGTGGTTAAGCAATCGCTCTTCACACTGAACACCTGGGTTTGATTCCCCACATGGGTACAATGTGTGCAGCCCATTTCTGGTGTCTCTGCCATGATATTGCTGGAATATTGCTAAAAGCGGCATAAAACCAAGCTCACTCACTCACCCTCATGCATTTATCAGTTTTCTGTGTGTTTCAGGCCATGACATCAGCAAACCTCTGAAGAACAGCTTCATCCATACCGGCCATGGAGACGTGGGAGGCAACACATGGGGGGACCCCAGTGCCATTGATGAGTATGTACTCACTCTAGTACTGCCTTCTGTGAAGGGTTATGTCCCCTTGTTGGGCCAGAATCCTATGATGTTTTGTTTCTTATCACAGATGAAGAGTATGATTCAGGATTGACCACACTATAATGGTATTGATCACTTCACCAAAGTGATAATCATCTTACTGTGGACTTTTCTCCCTCACCAAGCCACCATGTCAAGATGTGAATAAAAATACAGTTTACAGGAGGAACTACGCGTACTCGGAAAGCCATGGAAGGTCTTTGAGAGAACTGGGCCCCATTTCACAAAGCTGCCTCAGCGCTACAACTGTCATGCCTCCTATACTGTAACATAGACTTACAACAATTGTAGCGCTACGATAGCTTTCTGAAATGGGGCCCTGGGTCTTAGAGCTAAGATAGTCATAAGTTAATGTTAATGTATGGCACTTACAACTATCTTAGTGCTACGAGAGATTCGAAAATCTAGGCCCTGGTTTTCATCAGCTCATGTTTGTCGTAAGAGGTAACTTAAGGGATCAGTTAGTCAGGCTTGCTGACTTGGTTGGTATATGTCATCATATCCCAGTTGTGTAGATCAATGTTCATGATGTCGTTTACTGAATTGACTGGTCCAGATTCAGTTTTTTACAGACCATCATGATACAGGCTGGAAAATTGTCTAGTGTGGTGTCAAATAACAGACAAGCAGAAAAAATAAGACACCCACTGCAGCCATATCATTTAACTCAAAACAAAGTTCCAACTGTGGGACAACTATCCCAACAAGAGTAGTCTCCCTTTATCCATATGATTTCTTCATGTTCAATTGTTACCAATGTTGATTTTTTTTTCTATGGCAGAGTGTATTTGCGGAACCCTATGGAACCTCCTGATATTGGTGGTGTCAACGATGAACTGACTGCTACCAAACTCTCTGACAGAAGTGGTACTAAACGTAAGAAAAGGATTGAATAATGTCAATAATGCTGTGGTTCAAGCCTGAATGCCTTGAAAGGGTTATCATTGATGTGCTAGACACTGCTTTATGCTGCAGCTAGCATCAGTGCAACATGTTCTATATATTGGCAAACTAGTGGTTGATACCATGAGCAAAAACCCACACTGTTACAACCCAGTCCCTATATCAACAAAATTTAACTAAACTGTAAAATGTCCTCATAAGTTGAATGAATAATGAATACATTATATTGCAACACACAGGTTCGATTCCCCACATGGGTACAGTGGGTCAAGCCCATTTCTGGTGTCCCCCTGCCGTGATATTGCTGGAATTTTGCTAAAAGCGGTGTAAAACCATACTCACTCACTATAATTTCTGAAATGTCGTGCTTTAATCTCGAAGTAACTTATTTCATAATAGACATCTAATATCTGTGTCATTTCTTTTCTTAAATGTTCAATAGTGTTGAAAGCTGGTAAGACTTCAGTGTTTTGACAAGGTTTCCCCCCTCCATACTGGACAAGTAAGGCCATGAATCTTCTTGTCTTCTGGAATCTGCCAGTTCATGAAACTTACTGAATGATCAAATATGTTCTGTGCAAATAACCAAGGGTACTTACTCTTATTACACTTTCTGTTATAATGGGGCCACTACAGTAATCATTGTAAGAGCATTTCAGTCATTTGCTGCCACTGAGTCACTACAAATAAACTTACAACAATCTCACAGTCAAATTATACTGGAAACTAAAGGTCAAAATAGGCTAAATCCTCCACTTGTGAGGCAACTCAAACTGGGACTCTGATGGTCCTAGATTATATATCATCTTTCCCTGATGGAATGGATTGTTGCCCATTCTTTCAACCACTTGTTTGCCTGACCCAATCGCATTAAACCAGATCTACCAGTCTTCTGTTAACACTGTGGTTTAAATTGACCTTTCTGCTTGTTAATGAGGTTCAGAAATCAGATAATGCTAGTGTGAATGCTTTGCTCAATTAGATTAGAAAATTCATCTGAGGTGACCATCTTTCGAGGTGTCCTCAGATTTTTTCTTTGAAAGGTGTCTTAGTGAAGTATAAGATCTGATTTTTACAAGAAGGGTTCTTTTCCAATCTGAGTATTGACATAATTGATCTATCTGCATCTCTGGTGATGGCAATGTACCACAGCATGCTTCTTCTTGTATTTCCAATGGGATCAACATGAGATTTTATGACTGCTTCAACAGTTTATCTCTTTTTGTTCCGACATGGCCCAAATCTTTTTTATAATATTACTGAACAGATGTTTCCCAGAAAGTACTTGTAAACAGTAAGTTTTAATTAAAATATCATAAAAATATAGTTATTAAAAAATTGAATCAATGCCAACATAAAGTATCTTATGAGCAGTACTTATTACCTTGTTTACTTGTGTAGAAAGGAGGGAGGTCTCTTTAAGGAAGGGGAAAGCAGTTTTTTTCTTTTTAAGTAAGATCTGCTGGAGCAACAGGCATTGATAAATTTAATTGGAACTGAGAGTATTAGGTGCAATTTTATTATAGTAGTTATTTCCAATTACAGGTTTATTTATGGCTCAGGAATATGTCAACAACTACTCATATTATCACTTCTTGATGGAGTTTCATGTGTTTCTCTATTTCTCTTTAAGGCCCATTCCCTGGAAAGAAACACAAGAACTATTCCAAACTAGAGAACGAACCATCCTTCGAGGCCAAAAGTCCAACCAAAAAAGAACCCGCCTGCCCAAAAATCAGCCCCCTTGGCTGCAGTTTCTGGCACCCCCAGACAGAACAATGACCGGCCACTAGGGAATAGGAACTCTACTGGAAGTCGAGGATCCAACACAAGTCGAGGTTCATCGGGAAGTCGAAGTTCAACTCGGAGTGTAAGATCCGAACCAGAAAAACCTTTAATAGACTTAAGTGAGGACACAGAGGAACAGGCGCCTCCACCAAGAACAAATATCAAAACTACGCGGAGCACATTGTCATTGTTTGACACGTTGTGCACGCAACAGAACACAAGCCATTACGGTAACGTCGATCTTCCTAAGCCTATCTTCTCAGACAAGGCTGCAGACCCTTTTGAGATTCAACCCAATCTGCGTGTTTTCTCCTCAGACACATCCAAATCGTTTGAAGATTCTTGGCAAGGATCTCATTCTGTGTTTCATTCTGAAGGACATGTTTTCTCTGAGTCTTCAACATATACAGTTCAGAAACCTGTCACTGAAAAAGATAAGCTCTCTTATGATTCTGGACCGGCTTACTACTCTATGCCACCTCTGGAAGATTCCCAGTACAGTAAGATAGATAAAGTTTCCAATTCCTGTGTTGAGTCAACAAAGAGAAAAACATCGGTACCTGTCCGGCCCCCCTCCCACTTACAATTCCAGTGACAAGTTCTCTCCGAGTGACAGACAGCATAAAGACCCTGAGAAAAGACCACAGATCAATAATTTAGAGCGTGAACGCTTCAAACAAAATTTGGAAAAGACCTTGAGTTCTGGAAGCGGTGGTGAAAAAACCATTATCGCCAACAAGAAGCGGTCCAGGTTCTCAGTGTATTTCTAGGTCGTCTGGAGCAAGATCACTACCGTCTGCTCGCAGCCTGTCTGCAAGCTCCTCACCTGCTTTTCAGAGACCTAAATTAATATCATCGTCACAGACATCTTCCCCAAACCCTGTGCGGAGTCAGTCAACCACCTCCAGACCTCTTCCGACTAATGCACAACCAGTGTTTCCACCCAATGCTTTTCCACAGCCATTAAACCCTTGTGTTCCAAGACATTCAGCCAATAAAGCTGACAAGGCTTTTGATTGGATTAATGATGCTATGAGTGATTTTGCAATAGCTAGGGCAAACAACAGACAAAAGGCATTACAACCTCCTGCAAAAAAGAACTGGGTTACCTTTCCTTTGTATGACGAGGTGCCGGTTGAAGAAGAACCAAATATGTCTTCAGAACAGGAAGAGAACTGTACACCAAGTCCTGGGTCAGAAAGTCTTCGCATTGATGTTCACAAAGCAAGATCTCATACCTTTGCAGGACAGTCAATGCCTGCACCTAGTCAAGGACCGGTGCTGACACCCCCAATATCTTTCCCTCAGTATGATCAGGTCCCAGTTGATGACGATCCTGAGGATGTCCGAAACTTTTCTAAGTATGCTCCTGCTTCAGAAGTATCATACGGACCTGATGGATGGGGTGATGACTTTGATTCAGATTTCGATGATGATGAGTTTGAGGAAGGTGATGCTAATACATGTGCAATGGCAGGTGACATCCCCCCTCCACTCCCTCCAAGGGACTATCATGGAGGGGCACACTCCGCTGGCGGAAGGGAAGCTGTGAACCAAAAACCAAACATTTATCCTTTAGTTCAGGATGGGAAACAGTTGAGCCACACACATTATTTTTTGATTCCGCCAAAAGGTTCTCAGCGGGGTGTGAACACTGCGGAGGTGAAGCCGTTCATGATGAGCCACGATCAAACTGATGGTGAGCATCATCAGAGTGAGTATCAAAACATATCGTACACATCTTCGACAAGGCCGGCTGAACTGGCCCGAGAAAATCCATCATTCACGTGGTCAAATAATACCGGTGGTAAACAAGCTGTTCCTCAGTCGCCACGGCAACAGGGGAGACAAGCACAATCACCAAGGTCAAGGCCAGATCAACCTGTCAGCAGTGCGCGGGATATCAAAGGGGGCAGTCAAAATCGACAGACAGACAGTTTCGTGAGTTCCTCCCCTCGGGATCGGATCGCTCAGGTTCAGAGTCAGGTCATCGGTGTCACTGACGAAGAGTGTCATACAGCATTGTGTCATACGCACTGGGATATGGAAAATGCTGTGAAATATTTAAAAACTGAACAACTGTTCCGACTTGGTCTGGCATCTCGAGACCACTGTGAGAAACTCCTAGTTGCGTTGCAGTGGAACTTGGAGCTAGCCAGCTCGGTGATGCTTGACGGTGCGGGAAACGTTCAAGTAGAATCTACTGTGTAAAGACTTTAGACTGTATTGTGCAAAGACTTTAGGCTGTACAGTGTGAAGACATTAAACTTAAAAGTTATTTATATTTTTCTGTCAGTGGCATTGTAAACCTAATTTGTGGATCTCGTTTGCAGGGCAAAGAAAACTTGTGTGCCATGATGTTACAAAAAAGTACATTAGTTTCATATAACTTACTTGTTATAGTACGTAGATTACAAGTGTACTCTCAACCCAAGCCATACCTGATCTTCTTGTAAAGCTAGAAGAAATTTGAAGACCCCTCAACTTGGCTCGATGAAAGGTACGAGTTGCTCAGTTTCTTAACTAGTCAAGAGTTGCCTCCCTTGCCATATCTACCTCCTTCATAGTTTTGGAACTTCAGAAATTTGAAACAGTTGTATTGTAACTGCATTGAGAACGTTTTGGTCAGTGGATAAACTACACCAAGTGATATAGGAAATTGTGTTCTCAGTGACAGATAGGTAAATCAGTGCAAATTTGACCATTTATCTTTACTTCAAGATGATCAAGTGAAACGATGTGTGATGAGGGAAGTGGTAGTGTTTCGGACATTCATCTAGCCATCAGCCTTTTCTTTATCTGGATGAAAGAGAACACATGTATCCATACATGCTCAGGGCTGATATTCTGTCCAAAGTCATCAGCAAATGTCAGTAAAGATTCCCAAATTACACATTTATGTCTGTTTCTTTTAAAAAAATAAAATGGAAAGTAACCATAATTTTGCATGATCATTGGCATATGAGAACCACCATTTGATTTCATCTCTTCAAGTAGGATTCAGCAAATGCCAAAGTAGTAATTCAGCAAATGCCTCATACTTTCCCAGTGTTGCTACATCGAGCCTATTACAGACATATAGAAGTTGAAGGAACAGGAACACCTGATGCTTTTAAGGACAATTTCTGTTATTCTTCTTGTGATGATGTTTCTCTGAAATATCATGACAAAGAATAAGGGAGAAGTTGTTATCCATAAAAATTGTTTTGCATTCCTGCTTTGTCAAATTTTGTCTGTATTGAAAGTGAAACTTCCAGCACATGCATCTTGTCATGTCTGGATGTCATGTTGAATATTACATGACACATACAACAGACATCTCCTTCCCCACAGCGTGTCATTATGAACACTGATGACATTTGTCTTACTCTAACGGCCATGTTTCGTCAAGATTCACTGGCTGGATTTCACAATAAAAGACCTGACAGAGAATAGAAATGGAAGAATCGTTCTCATTTTTTTACTAATATTTAAGTAATTGTTTCATTTTAAACAAATATCTTTACAATTTAAATTTGACAATTGAAAAAGATGGTTTCTTTGAATAGTAATATTTCATCATATTTTGGGGGAAAGAACTTTGGTTACTGGAAATTGAACTTGATGCATGTCTGCAAGAAATGATATTCAGTGTTGAAAAATGGTCATATGTGATGTAAAGCATGGCAATGACACAAGTCTGTCAGTTACATTACGTCTACCGGTATTTGTTTTAACCATGTTTATGTTTATTCTGTTGCAAATGTACCTCAATCCTCATGAAGTGTTTCCAAGTGAGCAGAATGGTTAAAACTGAAACAAAGTATTTTCATTTTGACATCTGTCTCTGTTAATGTGTATGAAAGGGAGGTAACTAGCGTTGCATACTTACATACTTACATCAGCAAGGTATACTGGACTCAACTATAGCATCACATACGTGTCCAAATTGATTAAAATTACTTTTGAATCATGAATGAAATTCAACTTAAGTTTACACTGTAAATTTGATTGAGATTATTCTTCTGGTGAAAAACACACAGTTCAGACTGTCGACAGGTCCATATTAAATTTCTTCCTCCAGAGTTTCATTTCAAATGAGGACAGCTTCATCTCAGATAATGGTTAGGAATCCATGACTTCTGGATGTGCACCAAGCTTCAGTTACTGAAGTCAAATCTGTGACATTCTGATCCCCTTTCTCCCTTTCCCCTCCAAATATTACTGAAAGTTCACTGTAAAACAAGTTATATGACTACAATTTATATGTCAGGGCACCTTTAATATGAAGAATTGGGTGGTCCTTAACATCCTGTGAGTAGTGTATCTCACCTCCAGAAGTGATAACCGGGGTATATACCCCGTATACCATGCTTGTGTACATTTCATAGCCAAATGCAATGGACGTGATATTAACGTGTACTTCACATGATGTCTGAACGTTTACTTCACGTGATGTCCCTAAATACTTGGCATGATATATGTCATATTTCTTATGCACAAATCACACATGTTTGCAATGAGAATGATATATATACAAGTATGTGGTTTAAAGATTATTAATCATGTTTGCAATCAGTATGATATATGCTACACATATATCTGTATTGATACATGTAACATGTCATGTGTTGTTACATGCCTCATATGTACATTTCATATTTCATCTGAAATGGACATGCTTCAATTTCTATGACATTGTGAATATTTTAGGGATAATAGTTTTTAGAGAAGACTGAGCACACAAATTGACAAATATATCCCAAAATATTCATGATCCTTACGTCTTTGTCCAGTATATGTCTGTGCATTAATGTTAAGGTTTGTTCCATATTTTCACCTCATCATGTTAACCATATTTAAAATATACATGGGTTATATGTATATGTATTACATGTATATGCCATCACTACCTGTTATGTATGTTCATATACACATCAATCCACAGGATCATATGTATTGCAATGTTGCAATGTACATCATACTTGTTACGTATATTTCATATCACACAGTGACTTCATCCCATTCTGTGATCTATTTCCTCATGTTCTTATCACTCATTATCATATACACTTGCTTGGATGTTGTGGCCCTGTTGATGCAAACAGTCGTTACATTTAGTGTGTAATGTATCAAAGTAGTACCTTTCCTCATACTCATCTTAAGGTTACACATATCAGTGTTATCATGTTTTGGTGAAAGATGGAGTCTGTGTGATATATTACGTCTTATTCTTTTCTCTTTGTATGATTTATAGAAGTTAAATGTTAAAATATTTTGGATATGGTAAATAATTTTTATTATTTTTATCAATAAGACCATAATGAGTATTTAAACTAAACAGGTATTTATCAGTCAATACAGCTTCCTTGTATTTGCTTTTCATTTATAATGTTTATTAATATTGCTCATCTAAAAAGTCAATTTTATGTGTGTAACAAAGCTAATGGATCAAGATCATCACAACCAGCTTGTATACCAACTGATGTTTAGATATTTTATATAGTTTTGTTGTTGATTGATTTCACAACAAAATAAACAGTATCACTGAGGCAAACTTTAATCTTATTAAAGATAGATCTTTTACTCTGATACAATACAAGCTTCTGTAAATAATTCTGCTTCATTTCTTGTGCACCTTGATTTTAACCAAAAAAAGCAGACACCTGACGCAAAGTTTCCTTTGATGGAACTTCCAGAATTGAGATATGACAGGGTGAATAAAATAATCTCAACGATATAATGGCACAACCTTTGTTGTTTACATTTGGTACATGCTGATTAAGACAGAAATCTGATATGCAGGTCTAAATGCTTAGTTTTTTTCATACTTGTTCAAAATTGCCTCTGTTCACCCAGCAGAAAATGGGTACCCAGTGAGATAAGTCATATGACTATAACCTTCTAGCATCTAACAGACAGCTTGGGTTATCTGGGGTAATAATGTTGTGCTGTTTGTGCGCACTTTGAGCATGCCCCTTTGTGGTGTGGAGTATCGTGCGGTATAAGTACCCTCATTATTATTATTATTATTATTATTATACTGTGTATTCACAAGCCTCAACGACAATTTGCTGATTAGAAAGTTCACCATACGCATCCATCTATGGAAAAGTTTTCGCATCTGCAGGTACTGTATCAGAGAAAATAGTTGCTATCATGAGATTGTGTATACTGAGGTTTATGATAAAAGTAATTAACAAAACTTGTCCAGTGTGTGATTTGCACTACAATGTTTTCCTTGAAGTCTGTTAGACTTTGTCTCCATCACCTTGTAAATGCTTCTTATTTATTTGTGGTACATCCTTTGCTCATTCTTGTAGACTCTACAGTTTCTAGTATTCAGGTGAACTTACATCCCACAGGTCAATTGTTATTCCTCTCATATGTTTTGCAGTTTTTGCAGGCAGGGAGATTATCAGCTCTTAGTGCTTTGTACATTGGGTCGTGTGAACATACTGATGAATCTGCCAGTGTAGTTTGTTTGCTGGTAGATTAAAAGGAGGAGGAGTGTGTCAAGTAGAAGCTGCCATGTGTTTATATGGAGTAAACAATTTGGTTTGACCAGATATAGGACAAGTGGGTTGGGATGATCCAGACTGTCGAAGGCACAGTGCAGAGGTTAGGTTGTCAAAGGCACTGTATAAAGTTCCAGCTGCCAAAAGCACTGTCCAGAGATCAGGTTGTTGAAGGCACTGTGCAGAGGTCAGGTTGTCGAAAACACAATGTAGACATCCAGCCATCAAAAGCACTGTGCAGAGATCAAGTTGCCAAAGGCAATGTGTGACAGTCCAGCTGTCAAAAGCGCTGGTCAGAGGTCAGGTTGTCCAAGACATCCATCAAAAGCACTGTGCAGAGATCAAGTTGCCAAAGGCAATGTGTGACAGTCCAGCTGTCAAAAGCGCTGGTCAGAGGTCAGGTTGTCGAAGACACAATGTAGACATCCAGCCCTCAAAAGCACTGTGCAGAGATCAAGTTGCCAAAGGCAATGTGTGACGGTCCAGCTGTCAAAAGCGCTGTGCAGAGGTGAGGTTGTTGAAGGCACTGTTTTGTGGAAGGCACTGTTAGAGGTCAGGTTGTGGAAGGCACTGTGCAGAGGTCAGGTTGTGGAAGGCACTGCAGAGGTCAGGTTGTGGAAGGCACTGCAGAGGTCAGGTTGTGGGAGGCACTGTGCAGAGGTCAGGTTGTGGGAGGCACTGTGCAGAGGTCAGGGAAGGGCAGAGTTGTGGAAGGCACTGTGCAGAGGTCAGGTTGTCAAAGGCACTGTCAGAGGTCAGGTTGTCAAAGGCACTGTGCAGAGGTCAGGTTATTGAAGGCACTGTCAGAGGTCAAGCTGTCAAAGGCATTGTTAGTGTCAACTGGTTTTGGATTATTACTCTTCATCTACTGATGATCCTTGGTCTGTGGGCATATAAGTGGTAAAGAACTTGTCTTTGCCAATCCTGCAAATTGATCTGACACACTGTGGTACAAACACTGTTAGAACAGACATTAGAACTTCACTCACTATCAGGGCAGTTTGTGGATTGATATAGAAGGTAAGTCAACTTGTTCATCTTCATTGATCTTCAAATATATTAAGTCAGTCATTTGTCATAGCTATGCCTTTTATCATGTAGATACTAGAAAGCATCACTTGCCAAATGATATTATTTACACTTTTGTTGTGTTGAATTGGACACTATGCTTACATGTAGAGAGCAAAGTGCAGATGTAACGCTTCTGTCTGACCCAGGTATATATTGTGATATTTGATTGAAAGAATATGCTGTTTTGTTTGTGATTAAGACCATTAACTGTTACCTAACACTCATGCAAAACATGCATATGTTGATAAAATGCATGCCTATGTTGAAATAATGCATCCATATATTGCTATGACATTTTCTCCCTGTGCTGATTCATCTGGTGATTTGGGTTGGAATTGGCCTTAAGCAACCAAAGCTTGTCATAAGAGGCGACTTACGGGATTGGGTGGTCAGGCTTGTTGATACTTGTCATCGCATCCCAATTGTATAGATCGGTGCTCTAACCACTGACTTTCCCCCCTCTCCTGCAACCATGAAGATCTGGGTTAGAATTGATCTTCAGTAACCCATGCTTGTCATAAGAGGCGACTAACTGGATGGGGCGGTGAGACTCGCTGACTTGGTTGACACATGTCACCGCATCCCAATTGTGTAGATCGATGCTCATGATGTTGATCATTGGATTGTCTTGTCGAGATTTGATTATTTACCGACCGCAGCCATCTAGCATTAAACAACAAACAAAGACATGAGATGACTAAAGGTAATAAGGGGGATGGAGTATATTTGATGTAAAAGTGCAACCTCATCACACTGAGTGCGTCTGGCATATTCCTTATGGTGGCATAATTTGTAATGCCACTGTTTTGAGGTTTAAAGTCAAAATTATGGATGCAATGAAACTATGATGAGCCAGCATGTCTTCTTTCATAAGCCAAACAATTAGGCCTACATTGTTGTCAAACATGATGGATTTTTAACCAGGGGTGGGAATTGTGAGATTATGTTGTTGATATGTATATACTTACATAGGATGACTGTTTCTGTTAGATCAGGAGATTCCCAAGGATAAACTGAGCAAATTCAGTTCCTGTAAGTATTTTCTCAACGGATCCTGGACATATCAGCGTGATTAACGAACAAAGTATTTCAAGATATACTTACCCTATATTTTGTTATAAAATGTCTAATTGTATAATGTAGGCAAAGTATTCAGGTGACTGCCACATGGGAGTGGTCAGTACATACACTTCCATTAATTTTCAAATGAAGATATTAATATCAAGAATATATGAAATGTATATTCACTCAGATCTAATTAAAAGCAACAGAATAACTTAAACCTTCTGATTCTAACACAACAGACAATAAAACTACATGGAATTGTTAGTGGTATTTCTTATTAATATTTGACTGAAATTTGTATTGATGCAGTGTTTTTCTAAAAAACAAACCTTTCTTTCATCAGGAATTTGTAGCCTTTGAATTCAAGGGGGGAAAATCTAGTAAAAGTTTATTGTTTACTTTCATTTTGAGCTAATTTAGAGAAAGCCCTGAGGGACTGAAGCTCACCTTTTTTGAATTTGTAGCAAGAAAAAAAATCAGAAAAATAAAGAAAATGTTTCTAGATTCCTCTAATAGAGCATTTTCACATTTTATAAGCAGTCGAATTGAAAAACCAGATGCTGTGCATTTAATACAGTGCACAGGATGACCACCACAGTCACTGAAGTATTGTACATAGACTCAAGTCAGTCATTACAGGTAGGTGTAAACTAAACTTGTTTGTTCCCTGTCTACTGAACTTGGGAAGTGGGGTGGTCCTGTGGATGAGGTGTTTGCTTGTCAAACCAAAGGTTCGGGTTTGTTCCCATAACAGATACAACATGTGAAGCACATTTCTGGTGTCCACTTTGGTGTGAAATATTGCTAAAAGTAAGTAAATAATGTTTTACACCACCATAAGCAATACTTTAGCAATATCACACAGGGACACCAGAAATTGGCTTCTCACTTTGTACCCATGTGGGAAATCGAACTTGTCTTGGCAAGCAAATGCTTTAACCACGTGACTACCCAATCACCCATATTGCCTAAGGAAACCATACTCAAACTGAGTGTATTTAATTGTGTCCATCTGTTGATCAGCTGTACTTGCTTGTTGATATACATATTCTGATATTCCTAGTTATCATCCATTTGATATATTTTGTTGTTATTATGTTTGGTGCTGATTGTTTCCTGATCAGGGACGGATATATCTGTTGGTTTTTCTATGTGTTATTGCGCTTGTATCATACAGTCACTTATACCACATGCTAGTTATTACAGTAGAACTGCTCTGATGTCTACGCTTATGTTTTGTGTAAGTTCCCCGTTGCTAAGGTAAATAATGTACAAAAAGAAACTTAAATTCAGGTAGGATGATGAATATTGAACAAAATATTTCTCTACGTTTTTCATCCCAAAGTTTTTAAAGTAGAATTGTGTTTATACTTAGAATGTGCTTAAATTGTGAGATTAATTCTTATGTGTAAAAAACATGCATTCCTCATTCATGTTGATAGAATATGTGATAAGAACGTCAACTGAAGTTTGGTTAAACATGTAAAGCCTCTGAGACTCTTTTCTGGTATACTATTAAACATTGTTTATCAAAAGGCCACACCTGTTATGAAAGATGAGTATTTCGGTCTTTACCAAATGGTCAGTAATTTTGCTGTGTGCTGGTTTTCTGAGATAATGTTTCAGAATGTATGACTGGAGGCCCCATGTCGAAACAATGTCAATCAATTATTTGCATAGAAACTTGAAGTGTATTTTTATTTGTGACATGAAGCTGTACATGTTGATGGTGTTATATTCTGTACAGGTACTGTATCGCTCAGTCGTATGAATATATGTAATGTACAAGAACTACATGGTGTTTGTTATTCTTTGTGGGCAAGTGAAGCTCAGTATTATAAGATATAGTTTACTAATATAAATTGTTCGCATGTATGCAAGACATTATTTAAGTTAATGAACATTTGCAGACATACCTTTCTGTAATCATAGTATTAATGTTTACCCACTGACACCCCATATCTTACTAATTACTACATGTCTTCATCAAAACAGGTGTGTGATGTGATCTAGACCCGTCACACCACAAAATCTAAATGTTCCTGTGCATCAACCAAGAACCCTATTCCTGAGGTGGTTTGACTCGGCTGAGTTTGATGTTGTAATTGGCAAACACTTAGGACATGAGAAATGATTCATGAAAACATTCATAAAATACAGGTCTGTCCAGAAACCCTTAAAATCAGGGATCTAAACTGACGATCAAAAGAAAGTTGTCACATACTTTGGTGGACTCTAAAATATAAACGAACACTCAAGTAATGTTGATATAAACCAATATTTATATTTCATTAATATGTTGTCAATCTTGCACAATATGGAGGTGATGGACTTATAAGATCATCATCAACAGTTACTGTAAAACACAGGGGGTACAAAATGTCTTTTTTTTTACACAACCTGTAAAAGCAAGTGTGGCCAATAATTGGTGAACTCTGTGACTGGGGACTTGAGAGACGACATCAGTACCTGGTGTCTCCTCTGGCAAGATTTCATGCTTCACGGATGACGTCAACCGTCTGATGACGTAAGCCGGTATGCGTTGCCACATATCGTTTAAGGCATTCTCCAGGGTCCTGAAGATAAGTTGGCTGGTTGGGACGTCTCCTCGGCTCTACCAAGATCATCCCATAAGGTGATCTATGGGAGATGGATTGTCTTGTTGCAGAAGGATCCCCCTTGGTTGTTGCTGCAAAAATGGCACCGCTACCCGTCTCAGGACTTCGTCAATATACCGTTGTGCATTCAGATTGCCAAGGGTAGCAACCAGTTGCGTTTTCTGGTCATCACAAATCCCTCCCCACACCTTGAGACCACCGCCTCCTTGAGGGATGGACGTCTTGGGCAAAATTTGGAGCCAATCTTTCGTTTGTACGGCGGTACACCCGGACTCACCCGTCTGCATGGAAATATGAAATCGACTCTCATCAGTGAACAGCCATTCTCGCCGCTGCCAACGTCGTACACCTCGGGTCTGACCTTAATCCAATAGAGCACGTTTGGGATGCACTTGGGAGAAGTCTTCGTGGTCTTAGGAACCAACCTCAGAATTTGCAGGAACTTGGCGCTGCCTTGCAAGAGCAATGGCGCAGAATCCCCAACCTCGTGTTCACAAGCATCAGGCAGTCGATGAGGAGACGGTGTTTGGCAGTGGTGAATGCGCGGGGCGGCCATACACGATATTGAACTGAGAAATTTCGCATTTTTATTCTTGTGACTTGACATTCTGTATACCCATGTTTTGGAACGGCGGTGTAGCCTAATGGAACTGATTATGTCACTGTCAGTGTACCGAGTACATCACACAGATCTCAGCAATGAAATAATAACAATTTAACCATCTTACCATCTCTTGTTCGTTTATAGTGCCCTGAAGAAAGAATGTGAAGTTTCTTTTTTGACTCAGTATATTTGGGCGGTTAGCGCCATCCGCGGAAGGGTCAGTAAGCCCTGCTACCGACATGACGCAGTCGTCTCCTCACTGTGTGTCGGCGTGGTCAGTCACAGGTTCTGCCAGTACCGCTGGAACAACTTAGTGATGGTCTGACGTCAGCCTCTAAAGGTTCTTGCAATACGTGTCTTTGGCGTCCCTATTGTGGTCATGCAAATGACTCTCTTCCTCTCTTCTGCACATAAACGTGGCATCGCTCTGATTTTGTAAAAAAAAATGGGGGGTGGGGGGGGTGGTTATGTGACAGTGTATGACCATTTGGATTGAGATATATAGTGGTATTGGCATGGAGATTCAATGGAAAACCGAAAAACGTATTTTTGGTTTTAGGGTCGCAGAAAGTCTATTGACGGGTGCATGAGCTGGGGTCTTTGCAAATGGGTGGATTGTGCATGCAGTGTTTCCATAAGTCACTAACATGTGTTCTGATCCGTTTGGGGATTATTCACAATTTTAAGGTGTAACATATGTTATATTTGGGATTACACTTTCTTAGTAAAGTACAGATTCTAGTACTTTTGGGGTTGAGTCCGATCCGGGATTCGAACCCACACCCTTAGAGTCAGGCACCTTATCGCCAGCACACAAAGTCAGACGCCGAGACCGCTCAATTTTAAGGTGACAACTTCCTTTTGATCGTCAGTTTATCTTACTTCATCACAACCAGCTCTGTTTTATCACACCCTGAAAACTGACAAAGTATATGTGTGTGCGTGTGTAACGTTTTCATTCATATATTTAAGTCAATTGACAAACTTTATCTGACTAACTCATTTGGTAATCTCCACGTCAGCTTCATGCACATACACCTTCAGTTGAAAATACTGCCCCCAGTCATTTCGTTTCAGAAGCACAAGTCAAACTCGGCAGATACAGTTATTTCACTCAGATCCTGAGGTGATGTCTTTTGCTATTTGCATTTTGTTTCCTGTTTCCATGGAAACAAGTTAGACGTAGTTGGAGGTAAGTGTCATGTTTTGTTTTATTCGAATTTTGGGCATGTGTTGATCAACTTATGAAGCAGTGCTATTTAGAAATGTACCGAAAGGCATTTTATAACCTATTTAACAAAGCAACAAATTGGAGTGTTGATAGTGATGAAAAAGTGCACACACAAACACCAAGTTGTCAACTGGTTCCTTTTGCTATTAAGAATTTATATTTTTTTCCATCTCCATGGCAACACGTTGGTATGTACCTGACATGGCATTGTTTTGACAGCTCAATAACTACTCTTGCATTCGGACAGAAAGATAGAATGAGTGAGTGAGTTTGGTTTTACGCCGCGTTTAGCAATATTCCAGCAATATCACGGCGGGGGACACCAGAAATGAGCTTCACACATTGTACCCATGTGGGGAATCGAACCCGGGTCTTCGGTGTGACGAGCGAACGCTTTAACCATCAAGCTACCCCACCGCCCCAGAAAGATAGAAACTCCCATGAAGTTCCAATTTGATATGTCATCTTCTGATGATGGTAATTTAACTTGGGATGATGAACGAATTAGTTATTCCAGAGACCATTTAATAGATAATCTGTAATATGGTCTCTGGTTATTATTATTATTATTGTAGGCACCCTGCTTGTTGTTGAAAGCGATACTGGGCAATGTTGCAGCTATATGACGGCGTGATCACCTTGCAACACAAAGATTATCTTTTCACGTAAAGGTCGCTTATTCTGTACACAAATAGCGGTATAAAGAGATTTTAATGTTCACTATCGCACCATTGCACGTAGATTTTTTCGAAATGGAAGATACGGAAACCACGAGTATGAATGAAAAGTTGTACGCCATTTTAAAACGTCCAGGCAGTTCTCCAGCAGAGATTAAACGACCAGTTGATAATCGTTTTGACATTTGTTTGACTGACATTAGAATTATTTTCGAAGAATATCAAAGTGTTGCAGAAACTGAATCAGAGAAAGACAATTCCTGATCGACGGAAGGTAACAAGTAATACTTTTATGATGGCGGTTGATTCCGATGACGACAGACATACAGTACAACCAGAAATTATTGAGGATTTAAAGACTGTAAATTGTTTTATTTTTCTCTCTCATTACTCACGTATTAAATGTGAATATTAGCAGAACATAACTCCAGATTCAAAGACAGGTGAACAGTTAGTATTTTGTCAATAGTTTCTGGTCATACTAAAGCAAACCAAGTACAAATCAAGGCCACGAATGTGCGTTCTTCCCGTGACTCTCTTAGCACGGGGTTTTCATGTCACACGGTCCGTGCAGTCCAGTGGGGTGAGAATCATGCCTTTTCAAAGTCTTTGGGGCCTCTGCTTGTTCGTGCATGGGGAGGTCAAAGGTCCGGGGTGTGTTTCCACTGCGGAGACTTTCCACACTGGCGAAGGAATTGCCCGCTCTACCTCAACGCTCAACAGGTCAAGCAAGACGCAACAAGGATCAGGATTGAATTTCCGACTCGAAAGTTAAGTATTCTAAAGTTTGTGACTCTGATTGTGCCTTGAAATGAGCTGAATCTGACAACAGATTATTTTCATTTCTCCAAGTGTCATTTAGAGGCGAACATGTTTTTAATGGATAGACAACAATAGAGAAGTTCAGTAGGAGCAAGGACAAGCAGAAATGTACTCTTTAAAAAACTTTTAAATTTGGGTGGGAAGTATAAGCGTTAACACACTTTTCTTTGAACGCATCGCTAATTCTCTCTATCGGGGCTGTGGGGTAGCCTAGTGGTTAAAGCGTTCGCTCGTCACGCCGAAGGTGAGGTGAGGTGAAGTTGGGTTTAACGTCGTGCTTGAGAATATTTCGCTCATATGACGACGTGCATGCGTGTGTATGTGTATGTGCGGCTGCTTGTACTAGCCCAGATTTAAGCTGGTTTTATAGTGCTAGCCCACTGAGATACCATGCCGCAGTGAAGCATGAATACCCCACTCAGACACAGTATACTGACTCCGAGCCGACCAGTCCTTGTTGTACCCAATAATGCCGAGCGCCAGGCAGGGACCAACAAGGACCATATTTTAACGTCTTTTGGTATGACGTGGTCGGGGATCGAACCCGCGACCTTCCGCTCTCCGGGCGGACGCTCTAACCACTACACCACGGAGGCGGTCCGTCACGCCGAAGGCCCGGGTACGATTCCCCGAGTACGATTCCCCACATGAGTACGATTCCCCACATGGGTACAACTTGTGAAGCCCATTTCTGGTGTCCCCCGCCGTGATATTGCTGGAATATTGCTAAAAACGGCGCAAAACATACTCAGTCATATCTCTCTATCAGGACCCCTATACACAACGCATGGGATGCACGTGCACAACGCAGTAGCCCCATGCACGTGCATGGGGCGTCA